CCCCCCCCCCCGGACGCTCACGGGGTGATCGGGGGCTGAGCGTGCCAAGGCTGGACCTGAGCAGGCTCCATGGACCTGGCAGGGAGATGGTGCCCCCGAGGTCAGGTCGCTGACCCTCTCGGGAGCAGGGCTTGGGTGTCATGGACACTGAGAGCCCACACCAGCCACTTACGTGGGGGATGATCAGATCCTCCTTGATGTACATGAGCTGCTCCACCCCGGCTGGACCGTGGGGGGGGGGGGGGGCACAGTTGTCAGAATGGGGTGGGGAGAGAGAGAAAAAAGAGAGACAGAGACAGACACACACATCCCAGCTCCTTTGACACGCCCCCGCCCCCAAATGCCAGCCTCAACCCACCTCCCCAGTATGCACCCCAGCCCACTGCTTCCCCCCTCCCGGCCACCCACTGCCCTGCCCCCCAGCCGTGCCCGCCGGCCCCCACCTGAGCTCGCTGAAGTCCTTGCGCAGGATCTCGAGGGCTTTCTGCAGGAACTGCTGCATGGTGTTCCCCTTCTTCATCTGGGGGGATGGGGGAGGTCAGGGCTGGGACATCCCTTCCCCATTCCACTCTCCCCCCCGCCCTGATCCTTCTCCCCCACAGGGCTGGGACAGCTCCTCTGCCCGCCCTCCGCCCCAGTCACGGCTCCTTTGCGCTGCGCCGTGCCCCCCCTCACCTTGACTGTGCGCCGGTGGCCGGAGCCATCCCAGTAGCTGAAGGTGATTTCAATTTCCTCGCCTGGGGGGGGAGGAAGGCATGGGTCAATGGGGGGAGGGGACAGTCCTGCCTCCCCACCTGCCTCCAACACCCCCCCCCAATCCCATCCAACCTCCCCCACACACACCCATGTCCCCTGACAGCTGGAATCCTCCTCCTCCCTCCGCTCCTCCGAACCCGCTAATGGCTCCAACTCCCCCTCACGTCTTATCTCCCCCACCAGGCCCAGCCGCCGGCATCCCCCCAGGACTCAGTGGCAGGCAGTTCCCCTGGCCACGTACTCTTGATCTTCTCCTGCTTGGCCTCCCACTCCTGGCGCAGCTCCTCGCGCAGGCGGTTCTCCTCCTCCTGGGGGGGACGGGACACACAGCTCAGTCGGGGAGGGCCTGACTCCCGGGTTACCCTGGGGTCCCGGCTGGGGGGAGGGGGGGTTGATGTCAGTCTATGATATTCACCTCATGGTCCCGGCTGGGGGGCAGGGAGCATACCTCACGGCCTGGGGGGGGGCAGGGTAGTACCTCGTGGTCCCGGCTGGGGGGGGGGAAGGGCAGCGCGTACCTCACGGTCTGAGGGGGGAGCAGGGCAGTACCTCGCGGTCCCGATCCGGCAGGAAGCTGGTGTCCACATCCGGATTCTTTCCCAGTTTGCGCTTCTTGGGGGGCAGCTCTGTGGGGAGAACGGGAATGAGACGACCCCCCCCCCCCATACAGTCTCTGCATGGACCCACTCCCACTGCTTCCCCAGCCCCCCACCGCACCTCCTATTGACTGGCCCCTGCCCGACGGCACCCCCTACAGCCCCCCAGCTCCCTCACGGGCAGCATCCCTGACCCCCCCATACACACCCACCACCAGCCTGGCCCCACAGCTCCCCCTACAGCCCAGCCCCCCACTCCACCCCAGGCCCCCCAACCCACCCACCCTCTTTCTCCAGCTCTGGCTCTTCCTCCTCCAGCTGCTCTTCATCCTCCTCCTCATCCTCATCCTCGTCCAAGGTGAAGGACAGGCTGGAGATCTTCCGTTTCTGCTCCTGCTTCCGCTCCCGTTCCCGCAGCCGCTCCAGCTTCCTGGGGGGGGGGAAGAGCACCGTGTGTTGGGGGGGATCAGCATCCAATGACAGGGGTCAGTGCCCCACAGGAACCTCAAACCCAGTGGTCGGTGCCCCATAGCACAGAGGGATCAACCCCCCAACAGGGCCCCCAGACATGGGGACCCCACCTTGGAGAGAGCAGCGGAAGCCTGAGGAGCCGGGTCCCCTCCCCCAAGAAATACCCCCTAAAAAGGGCTCCCTCCATCGGAGAGGAGACACAATGACCCCCCCCCTTACAGATCCCGCGCCCCCCCCAAGTTAGCAGGGGAGCCCGGCAGTCAGAGACACCCCCCACCCCACTCACAGCTGCAGCTCCTTGGACTGCTCCTTCTTGGCCAGCTGCTTCTCCCGCTCCTTCACCAGCGCCTCCTGCTTGGCCTTCATGTCGTTCAGGGTCACCAGACCTGGGGGAGAGGGTGTGTGTCAGGACGCCTGGGTTCTCTCCCAGCACCGGGAGGGGAGCAGGGACTAGTGGCTGGAGCAAGGGGGGCTGGGAGCCAGGAGTCCTGGATTCTCTCCCCAGCTCTGTGAGGGGAGTGGGGTCTAGTTTTTTTGTTTGGGGCGGGGGGGGGGAGGAGCCCAGACTCCTGGGTCCCCTGCCCACACTCACCCACGGTGCTGGATTTCAGTTCTGCTTCCACCGCATCGTAATGAGCCGAGAACTTCTTATCGATGTTCGACTTCATGATGTTCTCCTGCCGGGGGGCATGGGCGTGAGGAACTGGGGGGCCGGTCTGCCCAACATGTCCTGCCTCCTCCCCCAGGTCTCTGCACTTTCCCAAGTTCTGGCCCCAGCTGCACACCACCCCAGGTACCGTCCCCACCCCCAGACGATCTGCCCCCCTTCCGTAGGGTTCCCATCTGTCCCCCCCTCCAGAGGTCCCCATTCCTCCTCCCCCCCCACCTCAGCACTGCCCCAGTAGCTCTGCATCCATTGTCCCCACCCCCAGCCCCCAGGGTCCCCCGGCCCCCAGGGTCCCCCGACCTCCGCGATGCGCTGCCGCATCTGCTCCATGTGCTCCCGCTGCCGTTCCCGCTTCTTCATCAGTTGCAGGGCCCGACCGGCCTCGCTGGCCGCCCCCTTGTACTGCGCCATGGTCGGGGGTGGGGGGGACCCCAAGACAGAGAGAGTGGGTGGGGGACCACGGCCTGTGAGGTGCCCGGGGGGGGGGGGGCTAAGGAGGGACCCTAGGAAGGGTCAGTGGAGAGGATGTGAGGGGGAGTCAGGGGCCCTGTGGCTGCCTAGGGCCTGGTGGTCCCTGGATATGGGGAGAAAGGCGGGGGGGGTCACTGGGGGCGCAGAGGCTGGGGGTGGAGCTGGGGGTCCCAGGCACTGGGGGGGGGTTCCAG